TACTCCCTTGCGAATGCTAAACGCTTCATTCTAATAGCTTTGGAGATAAGCGATTTGCTTCGTGCAAACCGACCATTGTAGTGGTATTTTTGTAATATTTTGTGTACAGTATCCACGTGAATTTGCTTCTGGAATGTCTGGTCAATATATTTATATAACAAAATTCCTGTTAGACGAGGATTATCTTTCTCTGAATTATTAATGCTGCGGGCTTCTCTTGTTGACAGCGTGGATGGACGCCCAAATCTCACCTTCGAGGTCAATAACCCTGTTTTGCTGTAGTTGTTCACTACTCTTTGGATAGAAGAATGTGACCGCTTAACGATTTGACCAATTTCGCGACACATTTTTTTTTTCCATAGATCAATAATAATACTTCTCTTACTGATAATAATTTCTTTTCCTTTATTTGTCATTATAAATTTAATTACTTTTTTATCATTAAATTATAAAATAAGTGCGTGGGATTGTGTATAATGATATACTGGTTCAGTAAAACATAAAGCACGCCAAAGTACCACTGTTAAAACTTCGGGAATTCCCCTTTATATGTTTTGTACGCAGACTTTTCTGCTGCCGATAGTGCTGATTTTTTACATTTTTAATTATTATAATTTTTCTACTAATCTGTTAAAAATAAGTTTTAGCTTAAAATGAAGATAACGAATTATAGTACAAATAAAAAATAAAATTGATTTAAAAAATCTATTTATTTAATAATTTCTTTCTTGTTGAAACAAAATTTACTTTCTATACGCAGAGTTTTTCTGCTAAGTGTATGTATATAAAATATTTACCAATAATTGGTAAAACATTTTTTAAAAATAGTATACTTCAGTTTTGCCAAATGTGTTATAACAAAATTATATAAAAATCAATTTAAGATGAATAAAAAAAACTAAAATTAAACCTTCGGTTTAAATGGCAGTTTGAATAATTAACGCTATTTCGCAAATATATGCGCTTCACAGATATTGAATAAGTATAAACGGAACATCAGTACAAGAGGTACAAGCGTATCGACGCATTATCCGCTTATCAGCTGATAATTGCCGAGAAATGGAGATTTATAACTGCATAATCATTTATAGGCCGTGTACGAGTTGGAGGAAATTAACGTAAAGTATACTGAAATTTCTTAGGGATTTTTTGCACTGCACTTATGTAAATACTTATTTATTTATTTATTGCACTTATTTATTATTTTTTGTTAAAAGTTTTTAAATTTATTTATTTATTTATTAAATATCTTATAAAATCGTCACAATGTTCACACCTGATTTATCCAATTTATTTACTTGAAATTCTGGTAAATATCAACATTCGCTGACATACGGACATAATTTACTATTTTCCTCAATTTACCATCAATTACTCGAACTCGAACACGGTCAATTACATACAATTATTTTATTTTAGCTAATACTAATATAACACATATATAACTGTTATTATACCTGATTAAAACAAAAAATTTAAAGAGTTTCATTTGCTTCAAATTTTCCTAAAATAAGATCATAAAATATTCATATTCTTCCAAATAAAAGTACATATATTTATAAATATACATTTATACACATACATATATATATGTAGGTCAGTAACCTTCCAAACAAGTAGGGATGTTTCTCTTATTTGCTTTATAAAGTGATATTAAATGCATGCAATTTTTACGTACTGCTTGCTGCTGCCTAGCATTAATTACAAAAACAAATAATTACACCAAAAACTAGTTTGACTCTTTTCTTGTACGGCCTGCCTTCGTAAACAAGCAAATCTGTTTTTTGTTTTCATTTTTGTCCTTCATTCATTAATAGTAAAATTTTGGGAAAGAACAAGCATAAGCGCGACCAATCTAGCAGAAGCGCAAAAGGAAGGAATATCTTCACTCCGCCCTCCCGTGCCATTTACTGAAAATTTAAAAATTGAGTCATTGTGACTCTATAATATTTTTACTCAATGCTTAAAGTTAGACGACATGGACGGCATGGTAAGGCAAGGCACAGTTGCGTACGACTAGCGCAATGACAACATCAACTGCAGGAATGGCAATAACAATACAAAAAAGTAACAAAAAACGGTTTCATACAACAACATTAAACAGAATGAGAAATTTAAACAGCGTATATTGTTAAATCTTGCATAACGCATTTTTAATTGTGCAACAACATCAAAGCAAATAACTGCAGTAACGACAGTGACAATTACAAAACAATCATAACACAGCACGCAATACAAACACAAACAGACACAAGCAGTCAGACTTGCGTTTGTACCGACAATTGGGCCGGTGCAGCATATAAACGGACGTGTTCTGGACAAAAGAACACGACAAAACAACTGAAACTGCAGAAAACTAAAAGAAGCTACAGAAGTGTACATCGGTATGTGTGTGTGTATGTTAAAGCATACAATAGCATAACTGTAGCATAGAATGAAAAGCCAAAAAGGAAAATATCGAACAAAAACAAAATATGAAATATGCAATAAAAATAGGAACAACGAAATATGAGACATTGAATGAACGTTTAAGTTATAAACAAAATGTAGAGGGAAAGCAAAATGTGTCACTACTAAACTAAAAGTTGTGTTAGGTTAGGTTCATGTCAATTAACTGCAAAAACTTTTAGACAATGTACATATCAATGCATGCCTGCTACTCGGGTAGGTAATATATACCCAGTAGAAAACGGATCGATCCGTCATCGAAGACGTCTTCAAGACATGGATACATACATGAAGACCGATCGATCCAAATGTATGACGGTCTTTGAAGACACTTTCATACAAATTAGCCAAATGTCTTCAATGAATTTTTGCGTACATGTCTCGAAGACCGTCTCGAAGACCATGTCTTGCATAACGGACGCATTCGACAGAAAATTGTGCGCTCTTAGTGCAGTGCTCATATAATTTTTTCACCCTTTTTTTTATTTCTACTCTTTTATTGCGCTCTTTAAATTTTAAATAAATTTCAATTTTCTCTTTAAATAAGTGGAAAGAAATTGTTGTATTTTGTTCTTTTATTTATTTTATATAATAATTTTTTACATTACATTCAAAATTAAAAGCTTTAGAAGTAAATTATAAATTTTATTATAAATTATTATAAATTTTATTAAGACAGTAATAATAAATTAAATTAAACATAATGAATATAAATTTAAATAATTAACTTAATATAACTTAGCATATCTAAAATTAACTAAAACTAATATAAAATAATTTATAGCATTTCGCTATTATCAATTGTTTTCAAAAGCGTTGAAGAGGATTTTAGTACAATTAAACCTTCTGATCTTAAGAGTTCTAAAATATCATTACTACAACGCCTGTTAATCCTGTGTTTTTTAAATATAACAGCTAATTTTTCACAAGTGTTTTCAGTTTTTTTATTTTCAACATCCTTTGTTTCGTTTCTAAAACAACTTTCACTGGAATTATTGTCTTCAATATTAATATCAATATATTTTCCAGGAACTAAGTCACTATTTAATTTGTTTTGATTTAATTTCTTTTTTTTTAATAATTCGTAGTTTAATGATTTTGTTTCTTTATTTATTTTGATTTTTTTAATATTTATTTCACTACACTTCAAAATTATTGCGTCACTTCATTTATAAAACATAGCGTCATCTGAGGCAAAATTCAAATACGTTGCTATGAACACTAAAAATGAGAGAGAAAGCAAAGAAAGAGTATTTACGTCGCAGTGTCACAACAGAATTTCGGAGCTATGAATATACTTTGTACAGATAAGACCGGAACGCTAACCCAAGATAAAATAGTTCTTGAAAAGTATATGGATGTTGATGGACATGATAGTGAAAGAGTTTTACGACATGCATACTTCAATAGTTATTTCCAAACCGGATTGAAAAATCTGATGGATAAAGCAATTCTGTCTCACTGTCATGAATTGGAGCTAGACAATCTGGGAGAAGAATTCACGAAGGTAGATGAAATACCTTTCGACTTCAACCGAAGAAGAATGTCGGTAGTAATAGAGAATACTAAAGGAAAAAGACAAATAATAACAAAAGGAGCGATTGAAGAGATTCTATCGGTGTGTATGTTTGCCGAAATAGACGGTGTACCCATCCAGATTTCCAATCAAATAAGAAAAAGACTGCTTGATACAAGTATCAATCTCAACAAACAAGGAATGAGAGTATTGGGGGTTGCTCAAAAAAGCTGGGTAAACAAAACAAACTCTTTTTCGGTAGAAGATGAATCCGAAATGGTACTTATAGGCTATCTGGCATTTCTAGATCCTCCGAAAGCTTCGGCAGCTACAGCGATTACGGCGCTATACGATCACGGAGTTGAAGTTAAAGTTCTTTCGGGAGACAACGAATTAATTACTCGGAATGTGTGCCAACAAGTAGGAATCAGCATTGAAAATATCTTGCTCGGAAACCAGATAGAAGAAATGAGCAACGAAGAGTTGGCAAAGAAAGCCATCACGACTAATATCTTCGCCAAACTGACTCCTCTTCAAAAATCAAGAGTTATAGAAGTTCTTCAATCTCAGAACAACAATACAGTTGGTTTCTTAGGCGACGGAATAAACGACGCTCCGGCATTGCGCCAGGCAGATATAGGCATTTCGGTCGATACAGCTGTAGATATTGCCAAAGAATCGGCAGACATCATCTTATTGGAGAAAGACCTCATGGTATTGGAACAAGGCGTCGTAGAAGGGCGCAAAATATTCGGAAACATTACCAAATATATCAAGATGACAGCAAGCTCCAATTTCGGAAACATGTTTAGTGTGCTTGCAGCGAGTGCATTTCTACCATTTCTCCCAATGTTGCCTATACATTTGCTTACACAAAATCTTTTGTACGATATTTCGCAGATTACAATTCCGTTCGATAGTGTAGACAAGGAGTATTTACAAAAGCCACGCAAATGGGATGCATCCGACCTCAAACGATTTATGATATGTATAGGCCCTATCAGTTCTGTTTTTGACATTATTACTTATTTAGTTATGTGGTATGTATTCAAATGTACTCTTCCCGAAGACCAATCCTTGTTCCAGTCAGGATGGTTTATCGAAGGTCTTTTATCACAGACACTCATCGTACACATGATACGTACCCGTAAAATTCCATTTATACAAAGCCGGGCATCATTCCCGGTCATGATAACTACATTTATGATTATGGCCATTGGTATAGCTATACCGTTTACCCAACTGGGAGCTTCTATAAAACTGACTCCTCTGCCATGGTCCTATTTCCCTTGGCTGATCGGTATACTATTGGGCTACTGTTTCTTGACCCAAATTGTAAAAAATTGGTATATAAATAAATTTCATAAATGGCTATAAAATATTCACTATTATGCTTTCATTCGTTTTCAATATTGGATTGGCATTATTCTTAGGAGTATGCATCGGGCTGGAAAGGCAATTCCGCCATCGGGCAATTGGTCTTCGTACGAATACTCTTGTAGCTTTAGGCGCTGCCATATTTATGATAATAGCCTCTAGAATAGGCGGAGACGCCGAAGGGCGTATTGCCTCCTATATAATTAGTGGAATGGGCTTTTTAGGAGCAGGAGTTATTTTAAAAGACGGAGGTTCTATAAGAGGGCTCAATACGGCTGCTACTCTCTGGTGTACGGCAGCTATCGGCGCTTTTTGCGGACTTGGATATATATATGAGCCTCTGCTAGGAACTGCGGCCATTATTGGAGTTCATGCTCTATTACGCCCTATCTCAAATAAGATAATGAAAACCAAGGCTTTTAATGACAGTGAATCGCTGGAATATCACTATAAATTTTTTGCCTGTTGCAAAGAAAATGTAGAAAACCATATTAGGGTCTTATTTGTTCAATACATAGGTAATAACAATGATTTGATGCTTAGTTCCCTAAACAGTTACGATTCCGAAACTCCATCTGCCTCTATCATAGAAGCTGAGATTATTAGTTTTACCAAACAAGATAATGCTATTGAGAAAATAGCTTCTTTCTTGACTCTGGAAAGCGGTATTTATTCTATAAAATGGAAAATCAATAATGTAGACGCAAATTCATAAAGAGAGATAAGGACAAAACAATCTATTGGTATTTTGCAGCTATCTGCAAGTTGTAACCTTTATTGTATCTTTTTTCTCCGATAGTTACGAAAAGCTATTATAATATGAGTAATAAAGTCTGCTTACTTATATGCTATCAATAATAAAACTAAAAAATAAACATGAAGAAGATCAAAATCTTTCAATTATTCTTATTAGCATCCATGCTCTGCTTGATCGGATGTAAAAAAAATGAAACACAACAAGAAAACAGTTCATTCGTAATAAAGGGTGATAGTGTTTTTGTTAAGAATAATGATGCCGTTTTTTCGCAAATCAAATTATCCGAGGTCGAAACCGTACCTTATTCGAAAGAAGTAATAACTGCAGGAACAGTTCAACCACTACCTACACAGTTTGCATATATTGCACCTCCTTTTGCTGGTCGGGTGGTCAAATCATATATAAAATTAGGACAGAAAGTTAAAGCAAATACCCCTTTGTTTGAAATTGTTTCTCCCGACTTTACAAATACACAGAAAGAGTTTTTTCAAGCAAAATCTGAGAAAGAATTAGCACAGAAAGAATTACAACGTAAACAAGACTTGTTGAGCAACGGGGTTGGATCTCAGAAAGAAATGGAAGAGGCAGCAAGCATTCTTCAAATAGCCGAAAAAGAGTATGAGAATACCTACGCAGCATTGCAAGTATACCATGTAAATGCAGAAAATATGGCTTTAGGGCAACCTCTTATTATACGTTCTCCTATAGCAGGTGAGGTCATAGAAAACAATGTTATAACAGGACAATATATAAAAGATGACTCTGATCCTATTGCTATTGTAGCTGACTTATCAGAAGTGTGGATAAGTGCTCAAGTAAAAGAAAAAGACATACGCTTCATCCACGAAAATGACGAAATGGATATTTTTATTGCTGCATATCCCGAAAAAACGCTTAAAGGAAAAGTTTTCCATGTCGAAGAAGCTGTAGATGATGATACAAGAGCCATTAAAGTACTATCGTTTGTGGACAATAAGGATGGACTGCTTAAAATAGGAATGTATACAACAGTTCATTTCTTAGACAAACCGGCAGACTTTATTCAAATACCGGAAACAGCACTTCTCCAAGGAGAGAAAAACAGCTATGTATTTGTACAAAAATCACCAGATATATTTATTAAAACCCCTGTAGAAGTAGAAGCCACTATGGACGGTACAGCCATTATATCTAAAGGGCTGTCAAAAAATGATGTTATTATTAGCGAAGGTGGATACTATTTAAAATAAGAAATAATGAAAAAAGATTTAATGCTTACCGTAATACAAAAAAGATGGGTTATCCTATGCCTGTTTGTATTACTATGCTTATTCGGATATTACTCTTGGAAACAATTATCAATAGAAGCCTATCCCGATATAGCTGACGTCACATCTCAAGTAGTGACTCAGGTACCCGGATTGGCAGCAGAAGAAGTTGAACAACAAATAACCATACCTCTCGAAAGAGCGCTCAACGGTATGCCCGGCATGCATGTTATGCGAAGTAAAAGTACCTTCGGCCTTTCGATGATTACAGTCGTTTTTGAGGACGGTATTGAAGACTATTGGAGTCGCCAGCGCGTACAAGAGCGCCTAAATGAAGTTGATCTCCCATATGATGCCCTTCCTGAATTAGACCCATTAACTTCTCCTACCGGCGAAATATACCGTTATATAATAGAAAGTGACAATCACTCGCTCCGCGAACTTACCGACCTTCAGAACTGGGTAATCATACCCCGCATCAAGGAAGTGCCCGGCGTGGCAGACGTTACAAACTTTGGTGGAATAACTACTCAATATCAAGTAGAAATAGATCCTCATAAGTTGGAACAATACGGTCTGTCTTTAGATGACGTAATGGACGCTATAGAAAACAATAATTCGAATGTTGGAGGTAGCATACTCAATCGTGGTGATTTAGGATATGTGGTACGAGGAATCGGACAAATTACAGGGCTCGACGATTTAGGGAAAATTGTTGTTACTTCCGAAAAAGGGGTCCCTATCTTTCTGAATGATTTAGGCAAGGTTAAATATGGTAATCTGGAAAGAAAAGGTGTTTTAGGATACTCTGATCGTAGCCGTGAATATAGCGAAAGTATAGAAGGGATTGTTCTACTTTTGAAACACGAAAACCCATCTGTAGTACTTAGCGGAATCAAACAAGCTGTAGACGAGTTGAATGAAGAGACATTGCCCGAAGGTGTACATATACATACTTTCTTAGACAGAACTGAACTGGTAGACACAACCTTACACACAGTTTCTAAGACTTTGCTCGAAGGTATGATATTGGTTATCGTTATATTGATAATATTCTTAGGTAGCTGGCGGGGAGCTTTGCTCGTAGCCTTAACCATACCTATATCTTTGCTTATTGCCTTTATACTGATGTACCTTACAGATATACCTGCCAATCTTTTGTCGCTTGGAGCAATTGACTTTGGTATTATTGTAGATGGTTCGATTGTAATGTTAGAAACTATTCTGAAAAAGCGAGAAGATAACCCTACAAAATATCTGGAAGAAAAAAGTATTGCCAAACGAGTAACGGAAGTAGCCAAACCGATAGCCTTTGCCACTATTATCATCATCACAGCCTATCTGCCATTATTTGCTTTCGAAAGAGTAGAGCGAAAACTATTTACTCCGATGGCATTCACAGTCAGTTATGCTTTGTTAGGTGCATTATTGGTTGCTTTATTCCTTATTCCGGGTATAGGATATGCGTTATATCGGAAACCTAAAAAAATATATCATAATAAATGGCTTGAGAAACTGATTGAAAAATATTCTAGTACAGTAAATAGTATTCTTGCTAAGCCTAAAAAAGTAATCATATCGGTAGTTATAATATTTATAGCAGCACTAGGGCTTACAGCTTATGTCGGTAAAGACTTCCTTCCTGTATTGGACGAAGGTTCTATTTGGCTGCAAGTAAACTTACCTCCGGGTATTTCAGTAGAAAAATCGAGAGAGCTATCCGACACATTACGCCAACGTACGATGAAGTATCCCGAAATCACTTATGTGGCTGTACAAGCCGGGCGTAACGACGACGGAACTGACCCTTTTACCCCTTCGCACTTTGAAGTATCGGTAGGAATCAAACCGTATAAAGAATGGCCTAGCGGCAAAACCAAAGACGATTTGATTCAGGAATTATCTGAAGAATACGAAAGTATGCCGGGATTTAGAGTTGGATTCAGTCAGCCAATGATAGACGGTGTTATGGATAAAATTGCCGGAGCACACAGCGAACTGGTAGTTAAAGTGTATGGAAACGACTTCAAAGAAACGCGTCGAATAGCAGAAGACGTTCTCGAAACGCTCAGAAATGTAGAAGGAGCTGTAGACTTGGATATAGACCAAGAACCGCCACTGCCACAATTGCAGGTACATATGGATCGTGATGCAATAGCACGCTATGGTTTAAATATATCTGATGTAAGCAATCTGATAGAAGTAGCAATCGGAGGAAAAGCCATTTCTCAATTATACCAAAATGACAGAGTTTATGACATCACTTGTAAATACGTAGAGGATGCCAGAGATACGCCTGAGAAAATTAAAAACCTGACATTGACATCTTCTACAGGTGCTAAAATACCTTTATCACAAGTAGCCGATGTAAGACTAAGTACAGGGGAAAGTACCATTACAAGAGAAATGAACAAAAGGCATCTGACCGTTAAGCTCAATCTAAGAGGTCGTGATTTGGCTTCTTTCCTAAAAGATGCCCAGGCGTCGATAGAGAAAAATGTAAAATATGACCACGAGCAGTATCATGTCAAATGGGGAGGTCAATTCGAAAACCAAAACAGGGCATATTCGCGTTTGGCTATTATAGTTCCATTGGCGCTGGCTATCATGTTTGTATTGTTATATGCCGCATTCGGTAAATTCCGACAAGCCGCATTGGTATTAATGATCGTTCCTTTAGCTTTATTTGGCGGTATGCTTGCACTCAATATAAGAGGTATGACACTCAATGTGTCTTCTGCTGTAGGATTTATCGCTTTGTTCGGTGTCGCTATACAAAACGGAGTACTGATGATTTCACATATAAATGGATTGCGCAAAGAAGGCTATGAGCTTATAAGAGCAGTTAAAGACGGAGCACGTCATCGATTCCGCCCCATATTAATGACTGCTACTGTAGCCATGCTAGGGTTACTGCCGGCATCACTAGCCACAGGTATCGGTTCGGATGTTCAACGCCCCCTTGCTACAGTAATTGTATACGGACTTATGTTCTCTACTATTATTACATTGTTTGCTCTTCCGGTTTTCTATTACTTGATGGAACGAAGAGCAGAAAAGCATAAAGAATCAAAAACAGAGATAAATAATGAAGACTAATAAAATATATACTACTTTAATAATTTTCTTTTTTCTAACGAATTTTGTGTCCTATCTAAGGGCACAAGATTCTGGAGAAAATATAAACCCAACCCTATCTTTTCATGAATACTTAAATCTGGTAGGAAAAAATAATCTTAACTATCTCGCCGAAAAATACAATGTGAGTATAGCAGATGCAGAAGTAATTGCCCAGAAAGTATTACCCGATCCTGAACTCACATTTGAAGGAGCTGATGAGAATTTTTCTCTAGGCCTTGGCTATACACTTGAGCTGGGAAATAAAAGGGGTGCCAGAGTTCGTTTAGCAAAAAGCCAAGCCGAACTAGAAAAATTAGCCTTGGAGTATTACTATCAGGAATTAAGAGCCGAAGCAGCAGATTTGTATCTGGAAGCTATACAACAGCGCGAACTGCTGGAAGTAAAAAAGAGTTCTTATGACTACATGCTCCAATTGAGCAAATCGGACAGCATCCGTTTCAGTCTGGGAGAAATTACCGAAATAGATGCTCGGCAATCTAAACTCGAAGCAGCCACTCTTTTGAATGAAGTATTTGAACAAGAAGCCGTTTATAAATCTGCATTAGTAGTGCTTAATCAATATATGGGGCAAACATCTACTTCGTTGATGAGCCTTTCGGGAAAATGGAAAAATATTGACAGAGATTATCTGCTTCCAGATTTAATTACAACCGGATTGACAAGTCGCGTCGATTTATACGCAGCTCAAAAAAATATAGACGTAGCAACTAATCAACAAAGATTAATAAAGGCTGAACGCAAAATGGATGTAGACCTTTCGGTCAGTTATGAAAGGGATTGGCATGGTTTTTTACCTCCATCCAGATCGGTAGTGGGAGGAGTTACAATCCCGCTCAAGTTTTCAAATCTGAATAAAGGCGCAGTGAAAGCGGCTAATTACGGAATAGAACAAACCAAAATACAAAAGCAAAATACAGAATTAGAAATTCAAACGGAAATATCTCAGGCTTTTTTCCAATTTGAAGCATCCCGAAAAAAATCGCAACAATATAAAACCGGGCTATTAGAAGATGCTAAAAGAATACTCGACGGATTGGTATATAAATACAAGAGAGGAGAAAGTGACATAACAGATGTACTGATAGCACAGCGCACTTATAACGAAGTGCAGGAACAATATTTGGAGACTATGAAGGGATTTGCCTCATCGCTGGTTGCCTTACAGAAAGCTTGCGGGATATGGGATATTGATTTTTAAATTATCTTTGTTTCATACGAATCTGTTTTTTATGAAAAGAATACTTGTTATTGAAGATGAAAAAAGAATTGCCGAGTTATTGAATAAAGGGTTAACAGAATTCGGCTATGACGTAACGCTTGCATTTGATGGGGATATAGGGAAACGCCTCATTGGATCTAATTCGTATGATTTGATCATTACCGATATTATACTTCCACATCACAATGGATTTGAGATAACAAGATTTTCTAAAGAAAAGCATCCGGATATACCTGTAATTATGCTTACTGCTTTGGGTGCCACGGATGACAAGCTGGATGGCTTT